ACACGCACACGCGCACGCGCACGCACGCGCACACGCACACGCGCGCGCACGCACACGCACACGCACACGCACACGCACGCGCACGCGCACACGCGCACGCGCACGCACGCGCACACGCACACGCACACGCACGCGCACGCGCGCACGCGCACGCACACGCGCACGCAAACGCACACGCACACGCACGCGCACACGCGCACGCACACGCGCACGCACGCGCACACGCACGCGCACACGAACACGCACGCGCACACGCACACGCGCGCGCACGCGCACACGCACACGCAACACGCGCGCGCACACGCACACGCACGCGCACACGCACACGCACACGCACACGCACACGCGCACGCACACGCACGCGCACGCGCACGCGCACGCGCGCGCGCACGCACGCGCACGCGCACACGCACGCGCGCACGCACACGCACACGCACACGCACGCGCACACGCACGCGCGCACGCACACGCGCACGCACACGCACACGCACGCGCGCACGCACACGCGCACGCGCACGCGCACGCACACGCACACGCACACGCACACGCACACGCTACGACTACTCCTACTACTACCCCTAGCCCTACCCCTCCTACTACTACTACTACTACTACTACTACTACTACTACTACTGCTGCTACTACCCCTCCTACTACTACTACTACTACTACTACTACTACTACTACTACCACTACCACTACTACTACTACTACTACTACTGCTACTACTACTACTACTACTACTACTACTACTACTACGGCTACTACGCCTACTACCATTACTAATGCGACTACGACTACTACGACGACTACGACTACTACTAACACTTTCCATGGCTAAGTATCCATTTGGCTCGCTCCTCCTCCAGCGGCTTAGAGTAGCCCTCATCGCCCTTGCATGAATTGAGGGCCCTCTCCGCCAGCGGCTGGAGCGAGGGGGCGTGCTCCTTGTACGCGCGCTGGCGGGTGTTGATGCTGTCGGGAAGCCCTATGGACCTCCTCATCCTCAGCCTTATTCTCCTGATTCTCCTTATCATTATCCTCGTCCTCCTCCTCCATATCCCCATCGCCCCCTCATAAAAAATACCCTGGCGACGTGCCCAACCCCTGCGCAAACGCGGGGCGCAAATAGTTTAGGACACTTTATAAGGGGGGGCGATGACGGAGCAAGGGTTACATATGTCTGCAGACGGAATTCGGGAGACTCGCAGGAAACTTGCTTCAGGACAAGGACTAGATAAAGCTGATTAGTTGCAATCCCTGAGCAACCCTAGCCACTTCGAAAGCGGAGATCTCAGATCGCAGCCCCCCCCCAGGGATGGCGAGGTCTAATTTGGGTCCGCGCGTGGCGTCACTGTGCTGGGCCCGCCAAGCAGGCCTCGAAAGCGGCGACAGTTTCACAGATCGCAGCCTCCAGCGATGGCGAGATCTAACTTGAATCCGCCCGTGGCCCTCACTGTGCTGGGCCCCCCAGCGGGCCTCGAAAGTGGCGACAGTTTCACAGATCGCAGACCCACAGGAATGGCGAAGTCTAATCTGAATCTGCCTGTGGCCCTCGCTGTGCTGGGCCCCCCAGCAGGCCCCGGAAGCGGCGACAGTATCACAGATCGCAGCCCCCCAGGGATGGCGAGGTCTAAGTTTGATCCGCCCGTGGACGTCACTGTGCTGGGCCCCCCAGCAGGGCTCGAAAATGGCGACGGTTTCACAGGTCGCAGCCCCCCAGGGATGGCGAGGTCTAATTTGGGTCCGCCCGTGGCCCCCACTGTGCTGGGCCCCCCAGCAGGGCTCGAAAGTGGCGACGGTTTCACAGATCGCAGCCCCCCTCAGGGATGGCGAGGTCTAATTTGGGTCCGCCCGTGGCCCTCACTGTGCTGGGCCCCCCAGCAGGCATCGAAAGTGGTGACAGTTTCACAGATCGCAGCCCCCCAGGGGTGGCGAGGTCTAATTTGGGTCCGCCCGTGGCCCTCACTGTGCTGGGCCCCCCCAGCAGGCCTAGAAAGTGGCGACAGTTTCACAGGTCGCAGCTCCCCAGGGATGGCGAGGTCTAATTTGGGTCCGCCCGTGGCCCTCACTGTGCTGGCCCCCCAGCAGGGCTCGAACATGTCGACAGTTTCACAGATCGCAGCCCCCCAGGGATGGCGAGGTCTAATTTGGGTCCGCCCGTGGCCCTCACTGCGCCGGGCCCCCCAGCAGGCCTCGGAAATGGCGACAGTTTCACAGATCGCAGCCCCCCGCGGGCAAGACAGTAAGAGGCGGGAGGAGAAGGGGCGCGACCACACTGCTCTATTCAAAACGAATGCCCAACCAAGGAGGGTTGGGCACAAAGAGAAAACGCGATGCTTGCCCCCGAGAAGGCGGGCAAGAATCGCGGATTTATTTAATTGCGTCGTTGATGATGGTGGCGCTGGTGATGGCGGGGGGGAGCGGCCGAAACGGCTCACCTGATTGTCGGCGTCGACGTCGTTGTCGATGAGGTACTGGGGGATCACCTTGATTGGCTTCTCCAACATCCTCCAGCTCACCTGCGCAGGCGCACGCATGATGCGGCGGTGGTGGTGGCGGTGGTGGTGGTGGTGGTGGTGGTGGGTGGGGGGGGGGGGTGAAGAGAACGTCTTTGTCGTCGTCATCGTCGTCGTCGTGGTCGTCGGTGTCGTCGTCGTTGTCGTCGTCGCCACTCGTCGTCCGTCATCGTCGCCGTGGTCGTCGCCATGGCCGTCGGGTCGTCGTTGTCGTCGTCGTCGTCGTTGCCGTCCGTCGCCAGGCGTCCATCATCATCATCGCCATCATCGCCATCATCATCATCACCAGCGTCAGCAGCATCATCACCATTGCCGTTGACGTCGTCGTCATCGGGCAGGGTTGTTTGTCACCGTGAACTCCTAGGTGTCGCGCCTGCGTGCCCATCCCCACCCTGTTCGCGATGTCGCAGGGGTGGGCGTCGGCCAGTTGTTCTCTGGCGGAGGGGCGGCGTGCTTTGAAAGAGAGCAGAGGGGGGGGGGGGGGGGGGGGGGGGTGCAGGACACGAAGGGGGAGAGACGGATGCAAGGGGAAGGGCGAGAAGGGGACACTTGAGGAGCGATGAGGGATGCGGGAGGCGGGGTAAGAGGCGGATCGGCGGAGAGAGGGCGGAGATGCTGCGTTGTCGCCGCCGTCGTCGCCCTTGAAGGCGCGGAGGGGTGCGGAAGGGCGGCGGCGGGCGAGGAGGGCGGGGGGGGGGGGTGGGCGGGGGGCGGTGGGGGGCGAAAGCACGGTCCGCTGTGTCGTCTTCAACGAGGCCAGGACGCGGAGCTTGGTGTTCATGGGCTCGAGGCAGCCTTCGGCTGGTGAGGGCTGGATGGGAGGGTGCGTATGTATGCATGCATGTATGCATGTGTGTATGCGTGTGTGTATGCATGTGTGTATGCATGCAGTTATGCATGCATGTATGCATGATTGTCTGCGTGCACGTATGTATGCATGCATGCGTGCATGCGTGTATGTAAGTGGGAATGGATATATGTATGCATGCATGGTTGCATGTATGCATGCATGCAGGTGTGTATGCATGTGTGAATGCATGCACGTATGCGTGCGCGTAGGCATGTTCATCTGTATGGGTGGATACGGATGCGTGCCATTGAAGGGTGGGGCAGGGTTGGGGGCAGGGCATACTATAACAAAATCGGACATAGCCACAATATGAATCCCCCCCCCGCCTCCTTCTCCCACGTTGTCCTTCTCACGCACACGCGCACGCACACGCACACGCACACGCGCACGCACACGCACACACAAACGCACACGCACACACGCACACGCACACGCACACGCACACGCACACGCACACGCACACGCACACGCACACGCACACACACACACAACCACACACACCCACACACACACACACACACACACGCACATCCACACGCACACGCACACGCACACGCACACGCACCGCACACGCACACACACACACACACACACGCACACGCACACGCACACGCACACACACACACCACACCCACACACCACACAATCACCACACAAACACCTCACACACCACACAAACACCCACGACACACCACACACACCCCACACACCCCACACACACACACACACACACCCCACACCCACCCACCCACCCACACACAAACCCACACCCACCACCACCCACACACAAACCACACAAACCCACACCCACATCCACACCCACACCCACCCACACCACACCCACACCCACCCCACACCCACACCCACCCCACCCACACCCACACCACACCCACCCCCACCACACACACACACACACCCACCCACCCACACACACACACACACACACACCACACACACACCACACACACACACACACACCACACCCACACACCACACAATCACCACACAAACACCTCACACACAACCACACAAACACCCACGCACACACACACACCACCCACCCACCCAGACACAAACCACCCACACCCACCCACCCACCCACACACAAACCCACACCCACACACACAAACCCACACCCACACCCACACCCACACCCACACCCACACCCACACCCACACCCACACCCACACCCACACCCACACCCACACCCCCACACCACGCCTCAACAACTGTCACAATACATTTCCGCTACGTTTGTCACGAGGCCGACGCCGGACGTTGGCGCCCCCCCCCTCATTTATCACTCCCCCTGTTGACTTCCCCAGTCCCCTAGCTCCTCCTTTTCCTTCTCCTCCTCCTCCTCTTTCCCCCGCCCCCTATCAATGTCAATTGGAGACACTCGGGTGATTGGGGCAGGCAGAACCGGTTGAGGAGTGGAATGCGTCCGACCACGAATCGGGCCTTTTAAGGCCGTTCTTAGGCCGGTTCGGGAACGGCCTCGGTTGGCGAAGGTCGGCTGCGAGGTCGTCGGGGCGTGCCTTTTGGTCACTCAATTGCGCTGTCCTGCCCTCCTCCTTCCTTTCCTTCTATTTCCTTCCCAGTCTTTCCTTGCCTCCCCCCTTTGGTGGTGCTCCTTCATCTCCTGCAGTAGCTCGAGCGACCTCAGGCCGCGGGATGGGGAACTCTGCGGGCGACGGGTGACCGAGCTACCGATCGGAGTACGGCCATATCCAGGCAATCGCGAATAATCGCGCGCCTTCTATCCGCGAAGTTCCACCCGTCCGGCACAGACAACGGTCATTACATAAACGAGCGCGCTGCCCCACATCTCGCAAGACATTGTGCTTAATGCAACACATCTTCTGATACGCATCGTAGCTAGATGACATGTCTTCTCACTGGCAGCATCCTGCGTTGCATGTTCAGCTAATGTGTCAATATGATAGCAGGGATCCAACATCCAATTGGCATGCCCTTGATGCTTCTGCAATCGACCGTTGCACTCGCACCAATTCATTCAGCGGGCGCAACCGAAACGGGAGAACAACTGCCAGCCACACCGAGTCGTCTAAACGTGAAACGTCGACATGAATCATGTGTCATGAGTCCGTTCAAACATGATAAATTTTGATTTCGCGACGCACGGAATTGGGCTCCCGCCCTCAGTCCACAAAGGACGAATCGTTATTTTCGTTGACCTCCACATCTGTGATGAGGTGGCGCAAGCTGCTCCGGCCGAGTCGGTGATGCCAGCACTGGGCCCGAACGGCAATCGCTCCAAACAGTCGGAAGGGTCGCGCCAGCCGGGGCCTGCATTTAGCATCGCTACCCGGGAACGCCAGGGCGACGGCGAGGAAAACGTAGTGGCTGTCGGTGAACCTGGCGTCAATGCCCGCCGCCTGCCGCCGCTCAGCCCACCTAGCAGCTCCAGCTCCGAACGCTAGCGCCCTGCCCAACCGGCAGCGGCGCCGAACCTGGCCACCGGCGGCCTCCGGGCGGCATCCTCCGCCCGCCGTCTTCTGGGGCGACCGGCAACCGCGGGCTGATGGCGTCGCCAGTGCCCGATGCGGCAGCCGCTCGCCGGCAGCCGCTCGGCTCCGCCTGGCGCAGGCCAGCCGCCAGGCGGAGCTGGCGCGTTGTGGCGGCCCGCGACGCGCAGCTCAGGAATTCGCAGGCGAGCGCCAACTCCCGCGGCTGCATGGCGGCAGGCGCGCGCACCCGAACAACACGAGGCGGGCCTCGGTGCCGAGCCGCTCTCCCGCCTTGAAGACGAAGGGCGTCAGCTTGGCGCCAGGGCAGTGGGAGTGCTTGTTTCGCTCCCCGAGGCGGCTGGCCTCCCCGTCTGGCCGCGAAGCTGTCGGCGTCTCTCGGCCGCCCGCAAGTGCTTGCCGATGACAGGAGGAGGAAGAGGAGGGGGAGGATAAGGAGGTTCAGGGTTCCCCGACGAGGAGGAGGAAAAGGAAGAGGGGGAGGAGGAAGAGGAGGAATGATTGCGACGATGATGGTGATCCTGGTGAAGACGATGGTCGTTGTGAGTGATGACGATGATGACGAGGGTGCTGATGATGACGATGGACGCCGACGACGAAAACGACGACGACACCGACGGTGACGTCGTCGACGGCGATGACAGAGGCGATGCCGATGATGATGTTTATGATGCTGATGGTGGTGATAATGATGGTGGCGATGGTGATACTGCTGATGATGATGATGATGGCGATGATGTTGATGGTGATGATGATGATGATGATGATACTTTTCGCAACGTTCGGGGTTTGGGGTCGACCGCTGCTCCGCGCGCACGAACGCCCGACATGAAACAAACACAACCCATCTCAAACGAAATGGGTCGGTGTTCTGGGTAGCGCATAGAAGCAAGCGGACGAACGCGAGGCAGCCAGCGAAGTCAGAGCAGGAGGGACCTGCCGAATAAGAAGAAGAAATTGATGAAGTAGTAATGGGACGCCCTGAGTACATGAGCTTGTCATTCTGCAATCTATCCATGGCGTCCCAGATTCTGTCGTGGTGCTTGCCCTTTTTGCTGAGATTGCTCGCGCTGTAAATCGCGTTGTTGCCGTCGTCGACGTCCTTACTCATGTTCGTATCGGGCGCGCTCTCGGGCATGGCCGTGGGCAGGTCGAAGGTGAACGTGGGCTCGGATCGGACCAGAGGAGGTCAGCGAGGGCGTCGAGTTTGCAAAGCATGTCACAATCGTCCACGTCCTCGTTCTCAGGCGCGTCGTCGGTCGTGTCCTCGAAGGTCACCTGCTGGAGCTTGCGGCAGTCGTGCGTGGCGGTCGCGTGCAGCGTGTGATTGTTGTCCTTGTGCTCGCACATGTGGTCGGCGTCGCTCGCGTGGTCGAGGGTCGCCAGGCAAGGACGGAACGGGAGGAGCAAAAGGTCCGAAGTGCTGCTGGCGACGAGGACGTTGCAGGAGGAGCAAAACATCCTTGTGCTCATGGTCATTCGTGTCGCTCTCGGTGTCCGTGAACACCTGGGGCAGCGCCGTCGCGTAGCCGAGGTCGTCGTCGTGGTTGCGCTCGCTTTTGTACTTATAGGTGTCCTTGTGCTCGTCCTTGTGCTTGTGTCGCTGTCCTTGTTTGTGTTATTGTGCTTGTCCTTGTGCTTGCCTTTGTCGTTGTCCTTGTGCTTGTCGTTGTCCTCGTGCTCGTCGCCGGCGTCGGCGTCGAAGAGGTCGAGCGAGAATTCGTGCGTGATGCCGGCCAGAAGGTCCGTCACGACCGCGCCATTGAGGACAAGAAACCGAGAGCGTCGCTGATGCAGATCCGGCGGGCTGCAGGGTACGAGGGACTCGACTTTGTCACAGCCATCGTCGATGAAGTTGAGGCCGCCAGTGCAATGAGGAGGTGCGCGATCATGATGTGGAGACGAAGGATGCGCATGAGGAGACGTAGCTGGGGCACCCCAAAAGGGGCGAGCAGAGTGGAAGCGCGCTGGGCGGCATCAGTAGCGCCGTGCCGAGCTGGGCAGGAAACGGAGGAGGAACTTCGGGGAGCCAGAAGGGATGTGTTCGAAGAAAAATGCCGTTTCGCTGGACATGGCCAGCTGCCAGATACGATTGCCGAGTGGGCGGCGGCGAGGGGAATCGGCCGCGGCGGGACGCCCGAGCATCTTGAGCCAAACTGGCATCGGATGGTGGTGATGATGACGATGATGATGACGACGATGATGACGATGATGATGACGATGGTGATGATGTTGATGATGGTGGTGATCGTAATAATGATGATGATGATGATGATGATGATGATGATGATGATGATGATGATGATGATGATGATGCTGATGCTGGTGATGATTGTAACGATGATGATTGCAATTCGGATTATGATGCTGATGCCAATGTTGACGCTACTGGTGGTGCTTCTGCTGCTGATGCTGATGATGATGACGACGGCAACGACAGTGAGGATGACGAGGCTGGTGATGATGATGCTGCTGTTTAGGATGACGATGATGCCGGTAATGATGATGGTGGTGATGGTGATGACGACGATGCTGATTGATGATGATGCTGATGACGATGCTGACGATGATGATGATAATGATGATGCTGATGATGATGGGGATTATGAGGATGATGATGATTGATTGATTGATTTACCTGGGCGCTGCGCTGCTACGGGTAAAGAGATGACCCTTTTTTTGCCACAGCAAGCAGGATCCGAGGAACGAAAATGTGCCAACATCCGAACCGAGGTGAGCCACTCGAGAGACCGGCGGCGAGAGGCGGCGGCCGTCGAAGCTGTCTCCGACGCCGACACACAACAAGCAACAGGCCACGAGAACATTCAGAAAGGGCAGGGAGGGTGGGCCACATGACTATAGAGGATACTGTCGTATCCACTGCCTCCCCGTTCCCTCTCCACTCAGCAGGTAAACGCATCTAGATTCCCAATGCCTGGGCGCTGCGCTGGCACGGGTAGAGAGATGACCCTTTTTTGCCACAGCAAGCAGGATCCGAGGAATGAAAATGTGCCAACATCCGAACCGAGGTGAGCCACTCGAGAGACCGGCGGCGAGAGGCGGCGGCCGTCGAAGCTGTCTCCGACGCCGACACACAACAAGCAACAGGCCACGAAAACATTCAGAAAGGGCAGGGAGGGTGGGCCACATGACTATAGAGGATACCTGTCGTATCCACTGCCTCCCCGTTCCCTCTCCACTCAGCAGGTAAACGCATCTAGATTCCCAATACCTGGGCGCTGCGCTGGCACGAGTAGAGAGATGACCCTTTTGCCGCAGCAAGCAGGATCCGAGGAACGAACATGTGCCAACAACCGAATCGAGGTGAGCCACTCGAGAGACCGGCGGCGAGAGGCGGCGGCCGTCGAAGCTGTCTGTGACGCCGACACACAACAAGCAACAGGCCCATAGCCCATAAATTTGGAACGCGGTATCAGGGCAGGGTGGGTGGGTGGTGGGTACACAAAAAACGGATGCGCGCTGAAAAAGATGATCAGCGAAGCTGGAGCAGCAGCGGCAGGCGATGCATGAGAGCGGTGCCATTGCGCCGCTGCTGTTCAGTCATCTTGCGGGTCTGGCGCAGGACACGGCCGCCTTTGGCGTAATTCTTGACGCTGGCCTTCGCCTCCCAGCGGCCGCGCCCCTGGGCCTCCGCCAGGGCGCGGCGGCGGCCGAGCGCGTCCTCGCTCGGGCCGCCGCGACGCAGCATGTGCGGAGTGAGGTGCAGCTCTGCGAGGCCAGCGTCGGCGGCAGCCTTGCTGAACAGGCGCTCGAACTTTGCGAGCGTCAGAGTCGGGGGGGGCTTCGCAGAGCCCGTCGCCCCCGCGGCGGCCAACGGCCGCTCCATCAGCTTGCGGAGGTACGCGCGGCCCGCGGCCATGGAGACCTTGTCGTGAATCAGCGCGGTGTCGTCGTGCTTCCCCGTCTTCGCTGGTGGCGTGGGCTGATCCTGCTCGTCGGGTGGCCGGGGCAGAGCGGGGGCGATGGTGACTGCCAAGGGGCCCCGCGCCGACGCGTCGGCGACGTCGGCCCTCCGAGGGCCGGAAGTACCCGTCCTGCATCTAGACCCCTGCTCGGGCTGCGGCCATGCCGTCGTCGCCCTGCTTGACCAGCTGCTCCGCGGTGACGGCCAGGGCGGCCCGCGGGCAAGGATCGCGCGCCACCTCGGGCTCCTGCTTGCGCCACCCCTGGAGGGCGCGCTTGGCCCGAGGCAAGACGCCCTTGCTGGCGAAGCTGAGGTTGAGGCTGAACGCGACCGCGGCCAGCATCATCCGGCCCGCGCTGACCGCCTCGCCGTCGAAGTAGAGCTCCGTCACAAACGCCTCCAAGATCTCGTCGAGCTTCCCGAGGTCGGTGGGCAGCGCGCGGCCGTGGGAGCGCGTGGCCCGGCGGCGCCAGCTCTCGTAGACGACGGCGGTCTTGGCTGAGACGCTCTTGGCCTTCAGGTGGTGCTCGCGGGTCGCCGCGGCCTTGGCGGGGGTCGCCGACGCCGCGGCGCGCCGCTCGCCGGCGCGGGCGGCAGCCCGCGGGCGCTTCGTGACCAGAGGCTTCGCCTTGGCCGAGCGGGGGCGCCCGCGGCGCGACCCAGCGGTGGTCGCAGCCTCCCCGGGGGCGGGCTCCGAGGGGCCACTCGCGGACTCCGTCGGCGGGGGGCCGGCCGAGTCGAGGCCCGGAGGTGGCGGCGTCGACTCCCGCGGCCCGCAGTAGCGCAGCGCGCCACTTGCCGCGTCCCACTGCGTAGCCGCCCTCGCCCGCGCCGAGCCGCGAGCCGCGGGGCGCCGCCGCGGCGGCGATCGCAGCCCAGGCGCGACGCAGGCTGGGCGCCCCGCGAGGGTCGTGCGCCGAGCCGCTCGAGCCAGGGGGGCCGCGGCCGATGGGGGCTGGGGGCGTCGAGGAACAGGGGCTGGGCCGAGGGGTGACATAAACCTCCCCTTCCAAGACGTCGCGACAATGACCTCCGCGACACCGCCGATGCAACTGATCGAGGCCTGGGGGAGTACCCAAGAGACCAGTGGGCTTTCGATAGTGGGCACCGAACTCACGCATATCGATCTCGACGAAGACGGACTGAGGCAACTTGAAGAGCGGACGAACGAGGTCATGTTCCCACGAGCTTGAGCGGAGCGGGTTCTCGATTGGCCAAAAGATGCCGAACTGACCAGCCTTTGGGTGACGCGGTCATCCCGCGCGGCACGCTGAGCGTCGGCTGGAGGGGGGGGCCGCGGCGCGCTGTGCTCCTGGTCGCGCAAGGCGTCCCAAGATGCACCCACCAAATAGTGCCGTCCCGAAGCCAACCTTCAAGAGCCCGAAGCGTCTTCCAGGAGTGCATGTCGTAGTAGGAGGCCCGCTGGAGGTCCGTCGGAGGCAGCGCGCGGAGACTGGGGCCCACTAGCGCCGAAGACAGCCTGCTGGTGCCAGAGTAGACCTCCAGGAACGCCCGAGCTCGTCGCGCGGTGCGAGGCGCGCGATGCGAGGCGCGCGAGAGGGGGGGGATGGGGGCGCTCCGACAGGCGCCGCTGGGCGCCCGCAGCCGGCTCGGAGGGCGGTAGCGCCAGGGCGCGCCGTCGGGGCGGCAGCCGCGGCCGCCTAGAAGATGCGGAAGACGCAGTAGGCCCGGCGTCTGAAGCGGCGGGGCGAGCGGCGGCGAGAGCCGGCGGGGGCCCCCCGACGCGGCGCCTGCGACGCGGGCCCGCGGGCGCCCAGAAGCCCGGGCGCTGCGGCGGCCCGCCGGCGGCGCCGCCGGCGCCCAGCAGCGGGGACAGCAGCAGGACCTGGCGGGGCGCGGGGGCGGGCCACGGCGCGCCCTCGCGGCCCCCCCCGAAGGCGAGAGGGGGGGGGGGCGGCTCCACTCGGCCGAATCGAAGGCCAGGCGGCAACCTCGGGCACCCCCCAGGATGGTGTCTCCGGGGGCGACCTCTCCGCGATCCGCAGCACGGGAGTCGTGGTCCGCGCAGTTGCGGGAGCCCTCGATGTTTCTCAGGTGCCAGGCGATCTCGGCGCCGATCGCGAGGGCGGCCGCCTGCCGCGCCAGCAGGCGGAGCCAGAAGTCGGAGGCCCGGCCCTCCATGAACGCCAGCAGCGCGCTCAGGTTGTCGGTGAGCCCGAGCAGCCGCTTGCCGTGCACGGCGGGGCAGCGGGCGGCCCGCCGCAGCTGCGTCAGCGCGACGCGGGCCTCCTTCAGGTGGATGGCGTTGTGGTAGGCCCAGTCGCCCTTCACGATGTTGCGCCATCGCTCGGGGCGGGCCCAGGTGTCGTCCAGGGCGTGGAAAGAGTCCGAGGCCTCGACCACGCGGCAAGGCGCCCGTCGTCGGCGAGGCCAGGAGGAGGGCGCCGAGCGGGGCGGCCCTGACTGCTCGGCGACGCCAGCGATGTCCAGGCCGAGCGCCCCGGGCGCGGCGGCCAGGTGCGGGGCGTGCGACGCGGCGCGGTCGCCGTCGCCGGGCGCCTCCGCGAGGCTGATCTCCGCCGTCTTGAACCTCCAGCGCTCGCGCAGGCGGTCGGCCTCCAGGATGTCCGAGGGCGACGCCCGCGTGAAGGAGAGCGAGTAGCCGAAGGTCGAGCTGTCCCCCGAGAACACCACGGGCGCGCGCGGCGCCGCCAGGTCCACGTCGACCAGCTTCACGAGGCCCTTCAAGACCCGCAGCTCGGTGGCCAGGGACTCGCTGAACCAGCCCCAGTCACGACGGCCGTAGCGCTGCAAGAAGCGGTAGCAGTGGTCGAGAGCGGACAGGCCCCAGGGCATCAAGCGGGGGTGGTTCACCAGGTGGCCGACTGCGCGCTCGAGGGTGACGCCTGGGCAGCCCCCCTGCTGAAGAAAGCGATCGATGGCGAGATAGAGCCGCCGGGTGTACTTCCCGGTTGGTGGCAGCTCGAGCTGGGGGCCGCCCAAGAAGCGCAGGCCCGCCACGGCGAGCTCCGTCTGGGCGGGCTCGACGTCGTGAGCGACGAATCCCATCTCCCCCCACGTGCGAGGTAGCGGCCCAGGCCGCGCTGCGTGTCAGCGCGGTTGAAGCCGATCAGGGTGCCGCTGTCAACGCGCACCGAGAACGCAGGGCGCCCAGGGGCCGCCAGGGGGGCGGGGGCGCCCTCGCGCAGCAGGCCGCCCCGCGGTAGCAGGGGGCGGCCTGGGGCACGGGCGCGTGGACCCGCCACCGCAAGGGCGGCGTTCTCCATGATTGCCTGGCGGAAGTAGAGCGCCCAGCTGAAGCCCATGCAGAGCACCTCCATCGCAAAGTACAAGATGGTGTCGCCGTCGACGGGGGCGTCCGTCTCGGTGTCCTGGTCGTAGCAGGTCGAGACCCCCGCTCGCGGGCCGTGAAACCGAACTCCACGCCGAACCGCCGCCCGAGCCGCTTGGCCCGGCACTGGTAGAAGCCCTGGTACAGGTCCAGGCTCGCGATGTGGACATCGGCCCCCCGTGGGTCACATCCAGCGACCTCGAAAGCGGCGTCGCTGAGGTCGAGGTCGCGGAGGGCGCCGTGCCTTCGAGCTGCGCGCGTGGGGGTTCCTGCATGAGCTGGTTAGCCTCGCGGGCGTCGACGATCACGCGCTGGGAGCCGTCCTTCTTGGCGCGGAAGAAACGGCGCGATGCGGGCGCGGATCGACGCGCGGAGGCCGCCCAGGCCGCGTGCCAGCAGGTCCTTCAGCAGCGCGAAGAGGGCCAGGCGGGAGGAGCGGAGCTTGGGGTCCCAGTGCGGCTTCACGGGCGTGATGGGGCCGTCCTGGATGCGCGCCTCTACCTCCGCGGCAGTGCGCTCGAGGTGCCGCTCTGACTCCAGGTGCTGCGTGAGGGCGAAGCCAGACAGCGCGACTCCAGCGGCTTAGGATTGGTCGGGCGCTTGAGGACCTTCAGCCGGTCGGCGTCGAAGACCTCAAGGCCCTGCGGCTCTGTGTCATTTGGTCTTGAGAAGCTCAAACAAGGCTTCCTTCGGGGAGGTGCATGGCGCGGTCCCCCAGCGCGGAATCCCCCTCCCAACCCGACTGATCACCGAAGCCTGAGGCCCGTTGGGGATGCGGGAAGGAGGGTCGACGATAGCCAAAGGCGACTTGGCAGAGGCCGCCGCCAACGCGTTCAGCGCGACGATCGACTCGGCCACACCAGCATGCCGCACGCGACGACGAGAGGCAGCACGAGCTGCTGCACGACGCTGGCGACGGTCATGATGGTCAAGACCGGGGCAGGGAAGCGGGAATATGTCAGCGTGCGAGGACGTGACGGGCCCAGCCTGCCGAAGAGAGTGCACGAGATGTGAATTCGGGCCGCTGACGACGGGGGGCGCTGAGTCCGACTGGGCGGCCAGGCCAGTCAGCTCGGGGCGGGCGCTCCCCTCGGCCGTCGGGCGCTGACCCCTTGTTCTTGGGATCGGCCGCCCGCTTGCGCTCCGCTTCCTTCTCCTCGCGTAGCAGCCGCCCCTGCTTCGCGATCGTCGCCTGGTCCTTCTGGCGGTCGGCGACCCACTGGGCGAAGACCGCCGTCGTCGCCGCTCCACTCTCGTCGGTGAAGGCACTCATCAGCACATCGAGGCCCGTGAAGTCGGGCACCTTGGCGTGGCGCCGCACTGCCGCCTCGATCTGCACCAGGCGCCGGAACACGAGCCCTGTGCTGGCCAGCATGGAGACGTCCATCTGGTCGAGCTGCACCTGCCAGCGGAGCACCTCCGAAAAGGAGAAGTGCTCGCGAGCCGCGGCGCCATGGACGTTGACCCCCGACTTGCGAGGTGAGCGACTGGCCCTGGGCACGGAGGCTCTGCAGGAACTCGACCGCCACGCGCGGGCCTGACAACGGGAAGTGCTCGATCTTCCCGTTCTCATAAAGAGCGAGGTAGGGCACGCCGTGGCGGTCGCGCCGCAGGCCCGTCACGCGGGGGTCGCGGCCGAAGGCCGTGACCTTGTCCAGCCGCCAAGCCTCCTCCCGCCCCACCTCCACCGCCTCGGCGTGGACCCAGCGGCGGTCCACCAGCGCGAGGGCGCTGGCCTCGCGGGCCACGAAGCAGGCGGGGTCGGCCACCACAGCCTCGGGCACCGCGGAGGCGAAGGCCTCGTGGGCAGGGTCGGCGACACGCCAGACGGTGTCGGGGGCCGACATGGCTGCGGCAGTGATCCCGTGGACCGCCGCCAGCATTTTCCCGCGCCTCACAAACCCGGCGTCGAAGATGAAGCATTCGTCGCAGTATGGCGCCGGAATCAGCTCGTTGCGGTCCAGCGGGAGGGCCCGATGTTGCGAGAGATCCAGGGCCTGCACCGACCCCGTCGGGGTCACGACCGTCCACAGGCCCTTGCCGTCGGTCTGCAGCAGGACGCGGTGGTGCCAGTAGTACCTGGTCGGGTCGTCGAAGTAGTCGATCAGCACCTGGGGGTTGGGCACGCCCAGTGCCCGTGGGACGCGGCCGGCCGCAGCCGGCGCGCGCGCCATCACGCGGCGCTAGGGCCACCGGCCAGAGCCAGTGGCGAGGCGGGACCTGTGTAGGCGCCCGGGCGGAGGTGGGCCCCGGCAGGCGCGCGCGCCACGGGAGAGGACCCCGACGGCGAAGCCCACGAGCAGCAAGAGCGCGGCCAGCTCGAGCCAGGCTGGCAGCGGCAGCAGCGCGCACAGCGGCTGGGGCGCTGCCGCGCACTTGGCCGCCGGCGCCGCTGGTGCCGGGCCGGCGCCGAGGGCGCCCAGGCAGCGGTCCAGAGCGAACTCCAGGCCAGGGGACTCCCCCACACAGCGGGCCGCCTCACCCGCGGGCACGCCGCCGACCTCACAGTGGCAGCGGCAATCGGGCGTTGGCAGGTCGAAGGAGCGCCCGAAGTGAGTGGTCCAGGTCGAGACGAGATTCGCGACCCCAAGCCAGCCTCCGAAGTCCATTCGGGAGGCTTGAACCCACATGACTATAGAGGATACCTGTCGTATCAACTGCCTCCCCGTTCCCTCTCCACTGAGCAGGTAAACGCATCTAGATTCTCAACGCTTACTTATTGATTGATTGCTTGATTCAGTGACCATGATGATGACGATGATGATGACGAGGAAGGCGTGGAGGACGAGGACGAGAACGAGCAGGAGGAGCAAGACGGCGGCGGCGGCGATGAGGTGACCTCTCAGGCTGCCCGCTCCGCTCGCAGGCGCTGATCAGCGCGCTGTAAGTGATGACGTTGGGCCGCACGCCGCCCTGGAGCCGGCCCTCCCTCCTCCTGGCCTCGCCCGCCTTCTCCTCCGCCGTCCTCCTCCTCCCCTCCTCCTCCTCCTCCTCCTCCTCCTCCTCCTCCTCCTCCTCCTCCTCCTCCTCCTCCTCCTCCTCCCTCCTCCTCCCTCCTCCTCCCTCCTCCGCTCCTCCTCCTCCTCCTCCTCCTCCTCCTCCTCCTCCTCCTCCTCCTCCTCCTCCTCCTACGTCCTCCTCCTCATCCTCCTCCTCCTCCTCCCTCCTCCTCCTCCTCCTCCTCTCCTCTCTCTCCTCCTCCTCCTCTCCCTCCTCCTCTCATCCTCCTCTCTCCCTGCTCCTCCTCCTCTACTCCTGACCCTCCTCCTACTCCTCCTCTCCTGATCCTCCTCCACTCCTCTCCTCCTCCTCCCCCTCTCCTCCTCGCCTTCTCCGCCTTCTCCCCCCCTCCTCCTCCTTCCTCCTCCTCCTCCTCCCTCTCCTCCCTCCTCCTCCGCCCCTCCTCCTCCTCCTCATCCCACGGCGCGCGTTGCCCATAACCTCGCTTTGTAGGCATGCGATTGCTGAAAGTTGTAGCTCACGGCTATGACACGGTGTGCGTAGCTATGTGTGACAGACCACACGCGCAAGGCCGAGTCATTTGCTCCTCCTCCTCCTCCTTCTCCTCCTCCTCCCCCATCTACCCGTCCGCCTCCTTAATACGAGACCAGCGCCTATGCACCGTACCATGTCTGGACTCCCTTCAGGCCACGCTCCAGAGCAGTACGGTGCACAGCTCTGCAGCTCGGAGGGAGGAACAATTGCGCCCGTACCATTCATAAGTCTAGCATCGACAGCGCCTCGGGAAACGTCAACGCGGCACGGTGCGCACAAGTCGTCTGCGGACTCAACCTCCTCCATCTCAGTCTCTCTTGTCACTCTGGCTGGTCACATGGCTTCCGAGCAAGCGTACTTTCCTTCGCCCTCTGCCCGCCCACGTCCGCTGCGAGCCTGGACTCTTTCGCGCCCAACTAGCGCTGCGCCTCCGATGGCTGCATGCGGTGTATATTACTGCTTTTAACCTGGCAGGCGGAACCAGGCGGTGGCGTTGACGACGAGCCTCCCACTCTTTGCGCCTGCCGCCAAGGCGCAGCCACACCGACAGTCGAGCACGCACATAGCGAAGCCACGCGTCGAATTATCACCTCCTCCCGCTTCCCTGCCGCGTGCCCGGGATGCTGAAACATGCCCGACGGCTTACGGCGCCCGTTTCTTTGGAAGCTGCTTCGCCCAACTCCATGCTTGCAAGCATGGCCCTCGGAACATGTTCAGATCCCAAGCATACCTGCAGACCCTTCACCGCTAGACGATCCAGACGAGCCGTCGGCCAAGAGTAACGAACCACCTGCTGACCCCTATTAGGGAATCCGCTTCATATGTTGACCTTGCTAGCAACGCTAGCAGGATGGATGTGGCACAGGGTGGCCCATCCATCTTCCATGTTGCCCCCACACTACTGAGACCAACGGCGCATTCTGAATTCCGAGAGTGCGGATCTCGCGCGCACATGCATGACAACAGCGATGTTTCTTACTGGGTGGCGGGCATACCCACCAACGGCTCAGCCGAATTAAATACTAATAAATCTCGCCTCTCTCTTCCTTATTTCTGCACTCTTCCCCCTCATAACAAGGATGCCCGAAAGGGCACTACCACCCAGACAGGGCCGTGCACTCGGCTCCCTCAAACAACAGGATGCTGTTCCGTGAGCCATTATGGAAAGCAACATGCCCGCGTCTCAACTTTACTACTGCTGTCCGTCCTGATCCTCCTCGCGCTGCTCTGCTTACTCTTCCCTCTTCCTCCTCCTGTTCCGCGCATTTCTATCCTCCGCCTCTGTTCCTCTTCCTCTTGCTACTATATTTCCCCATCCTCCTACTTATGCTCTGGTTGATATTCGACGGTTATCAATGTCTTCTTGAATCAGGAAGCCGACTCCAATAACAGCAACATCAACAAATGCCTGCCAGTGTGGCAAGACACAGGTGCAATTTACGAGGTGCGATGCCCTTGGTGTGGTCTACGATGTGCAAGCAATGTGGCTCAAGCTATGTGGTACAAGCTGTGGGGTGCACTGTTATGCCGTACAATCTGTGGAGCACAATATATGCGTGTCCTCTTTTGTCGTGCAGTCGTGCAGTCGTGCGACATACGTGGCGCAGGTGGTGCAAGCTATGTGTGCATCACACCGCAAGCTGTGCGCGCATCCTGGCAAGAGAGTCCATTCCTGGGCGGGCACGTGGCGAACGCGGGCGGGAACTGAAGGGACAAATCCAGACGTGTCAGCCGACGCACGGGGCAGGCATACGAGCGGGTACCTTCTCGAACGGCGAACATGTCCGTCTCCGCGCCCTCGCCGCCTGGATTCCGGGCACGATCCCAAGGATCGCACGGGTGCGTTCCGCGCGGGGCATCCGCGAGAACATCGCACCGTGTCCGCGGGGTCGCGGCCCAGGGGCCCGGCCCGCGAGGCCGCGGATGCGCACATGTTTTTCACCCGCGGCACCTGGCGAAAGTCACGACATGCCAGCCAGCACACGGGGCGGGCACGGGGTGGGGACGGGCGCGCATCTGGCGAAAACCCAGGAACGGCGGCCAATCACGTGGGACGAAACAGGATCCCTGCGCATTGTCCACGCGCGACGGCGGAGAAAACCGATGACTCGCTTTACCCTCGACCACTGTCCCCCTATCGACCTTCACTGGCCAAGACTTCTGCACTCATTCCGGGGTTCGGTGTCCACCAAAGGGGGGGGACCATGAGGGGGGGGGGTGAGTTCGATCCGCTGGTGCAGTGAATTTCCGGAAAACGAAGCCCCCCGCGCGCCCTGATTGTCGACACCTCTCGGTTTCCGGCGGCGGCCGGAGACCTTGTTCTGCAGCGTTTCTCTGCGATTCGATGCGCCAGCGGACCGAACTCCCCCCCCCCCCGTGCCCCCCCGCTTTGCTAGGTCCCGAGGGGTTGCGACGCCGCTAGTCCTCGGACCCCTCCCGGGCAGTATCAGCACCGTGTCCTCCTCTGAACTTTATCCACGCCTCGCCAGCGGACCGGCGCCAGGCCGAGTACTCAGCGGCGGCGACCCAGGTAGCCAAAAGAAGCCTCAAAGACAAACGCTGGGACTTCTGTGGTTCTCGTCGTACTTTCAGACCATACGCCAGACATTTTTTTTTTTTGAAATCGCAACCACGCAAGGTTAATCTATCCTCGGGTCTGCACTTGCCGGACTACAAACGCAAGTGTAAAGAGATGATTTCGAGCATCCAGAAAAAATATCTCAACAGCGTCTGCCCGACAAGCTTAGCGAAGTGCCGAACGAGAATCGCCTCCCGGGACCCGGCGCGCGGAAGCCCTGCAGTTTTGGTACTTTCCTGGTGCTCGAGATTCTCTCTGGCGGTCAAGACTCAAGTAGGTCGAAACATCCAACGCGGGGACAAGCGCATGCCCCCACAAAGCGCGCTGGCCGCTCGCATCTCGGCCAGGAGGTCCAGCGCCTGCCGCCACTGCTTGCGCTTGCCCAGGGCCGAGATCTGCTGCGTGTACCTCCCGCGCCACAAGCGGCGTGCGGCTATCAATCGGATGAGATTCCACGATGGCCTCAAGATGGCCCAAGAGGCCTCCAAGACGCCACAAGAGGCCTCCAAAAGGCCGAAACTCATTGATTGTCCGAAGGTTTTGGGGAGATATTGGCGTTCTCGCCGTTTCGGTTTTCCGACGCTCCAAGACGGCCCAAGAGGCCCACAAGACCACCCCCAGACGGTCCACGCAAACCTCGGGCTCCCAACGCCGAAACGTAACTATGTTCAGAGCGCATGTGCAGAAACCCCACCAGCGCTCTCGACGTGTATGGCCTCGGCAACTTCCTCTTCCAACCCTCTTCTCCCCGTTCGGGGAGGGGCTTATCACCGCTCCTTTTGTCGCAAGCACCTCCTCCCCCCCTCGATCCGCTGCCGATCAAAGACCATGCCGAACACTCCCCACACCACCCCTGTCAACAATTACACCAAAGAAAAACCCCAATCAATGGATGGTTTTCGCTGAGGAGATCGACCGGGAACACGGGAGCCCGGGAACCCAGAACCCACCGAAATCGGCCCGGAACCAATAACCAAGAACCCAAGAATCCGGAACCGGGTACCCAAGAACCTAACCTGCTACCAAAATCGGCAGGAAACTTTCGCCAAATCTTTCAACTTCCGCTAGGACCCCTTCAGTGCGAGCACTGATGGGGAAAAACGATATACAGAGAATGCTGTGCGACAAAAGCTTGGACCATGTGCGGGGGGGCGCGATCCACGTACATGGTTTTTGTTGACGGGGGCGGCGCGGGGGCCAGCATGTTGCCTCGTGTGTGCAGGCCCGCTATCCCTGTCAAGCCACGAAGCAGCGTGTTTCTCTGCGGCAGAATGTTGGGCCATGCGTGGGGGGAGGCGCGATCACTTTGCATTGTGTTTGACAGGGATGGTAAGGGTGCCCAAGAATTCTCTGGTGCATGAGGGCCCACAATCCTGGTCAAAAGCACCTCGAAATTGATTGCGGGTGCACACGCCACCCACCATGCTTACCACCCTGCTGCCATCCCGTATTTTTTGATTGGCAAGAACTGTGGGTGGGGGTCGACATGCTTCCCACTACGCGTGCTGGCGCACACGGGACTGCGACTCGAGTGCTACTGATGTGGTGGGAGGGCGGGTGGGGGTGAGCGAGACGGCTTGCGGCCATCCTTCGTGGTAGCTGAAACTTGGCTCCTTCTTGATCTACCTTGCAACAAACCAAGGACGATTGCCGCCCTCTCACCGTCTCCGTCAGACAACTGTTCAACAATTACTTTGCGGAATCGTCTGGATCACATTTTTTCTTTGCTCACCTGCATTGCAATGGGCCGAAACATCGAACGGCCTGCTCTCCTCGCGAAAAACCCTCCGGCCTGCGGGCCGCAGCCCCTGACCCAGACCGACGGGAACATGAGCCTCCGATGACCGCTCCCGGCCGCCTTCGCGGGCGGGCGCGTGCAAGGCGGCGACGCTGCAGAGAGGAGGAGGAGGAGGAGGAGGAGGAGGAAGAGGAGGAGGAGGAGGAGGAGGAGGAGGAGGAGGAGGCGGAGGAGGAGGAGGAGGAGGAGGAGGAGGATGAGGAGAGGATGAGGATGATGATGAGAGGAGGAGGAGGAGGGAGGAGGAGGAGGAGGAAGGAGGAGGGGAGGAGGAGGAGGAGGAGGAGGAGGAGGAGGAGGAGGAGGAGGAGAGGAGGAGGAGGAGGAGGAGGAGGGAGGAGGAGGAGGAGGAGGAGGAGGAGGGCGGAGGAGGGAGGAGGAGGAGGAGGAGGAGGAGGAGGAGGAGGAGGAGGAGGAGGAGGAGGAGCGCAGGAGCGCGTTTGTTTATGTTCGGCGATGACGGGCGTCATGGGGGGGGGGGGGGGGGGGGGGTATGACGTGACGCCCCCCCCCCCGCCGTGTGGCTCCTGCACCGCAGCTGCGCCCGCGCGCACGAAGCGACGAGCGACGAGCGACGACGACGACGCGAGCAGCATGTAAGTGGCGATCTGCCCATTGCGCCTGTGTGCACCACAACGCTCGCGTGCACCACACCGCGCGTGTGCACCACAGCGCTTGCGTACACCGCAACAGCCGTGTGCAACGCACCGCCCGCGTATACCACAATACTTGGGAACACTACAGCGCTGGTGTACATACACCGCAGCAGCCATGTGCAACATAACGCCTATGTACACCACAGTGCTTGCGTGCACCGCATCGCATGTGCACGCCACAGCGCCTGTCTACACCACAGCATCCGCGTGCAACGCAGCGCTGGTGTACACCACAGTGCCTGCGTGCATAAGACCAGTAGAAGGAGCATGTACGTCAGGATCTGATGCGGACAACTAAACGCCACGCCAGGAAAATTCTGATAATCGAATGCGACGTTTTCCCTCCTCCCTCCTCCTCCACCTCCTCCTCCTCCTCCTGCTCCTGCTCCTCCTCCTCCTCATCATCCTCCTTCTCCTCCTTGTTACCCCCTGTCGTGCGGCTTGGCGTTACAACGCACGTGCGCATCTCAGCGTGCACCGCAAAATGGTCGATTGAATCGGTCCACTTGGTTCTCGGACGGCCAGTTTAGCTGGAGCCTCCTGGACGCAAATGGGAGTTAGGGTGATGCGGGCGGACTCGGGGGGACTCGTAGATTCCAGCGGCGCTCCATCGTCCATGACGATTCGTTTTCCATTGTTTTCGATGGAATCCACACGCGCTCCATTTTGTCACAAGGCTTCCTTTTGAAATTCTATACAAAACAATGGTGCTGTGTTGCACACGGCCGATGTGGTGCACACAGGGGCCGTGGCGTACACAGGCACTGCAATGCACGCAGGCATTGTGATGTACACTGGTTCTGTGTTGCGCACGGCTGATGTGGTGTACGGAGGCGCTGTGGTGTACACAGGAGCTGCTGTGCCCGCAGGCACGGTGGCACAAACTGACGCTGTGTTGCACGCGGCTGCTGTGGTGTACGTCGGCGGCGTGGTGTACACAGGCGCTGTGGTGCACGCGGGCACTGCGATGTACACAGGCGTTGTGGTGCATATCGCCACCCACATGTTCGTGCTACCCGTCCTCCGTCATTCCGCAACATTCCCAGACGTCGCCGGCGCGAAACGTGACGTCATCGACCCCCTCCCCCCCAGATGATTGCCGCCATCGGCCCGGACTTTAAAACAGGCTCCAGCCGCGTCCGCGCGCACGACGACGATGAGCGAGGAGCGACGAACCACGAGCGACGACGACGGACGACGACGACGACGACGACGACGCCTGCGGACCAGACACCTATGCGGCTTCCTACGCGGACACCTGCGGCGGCTTCCTACGCGGACACCTACGCGGATCCCAATGCGCACGGCGGCAGTGCCTGGAGCGCACTGGGGGGGGAGCGTCACGTCATACGGGGGGGGGAGCGGGGGCCATGACGCCCGTCATACCCCAAGCAATCAAGAAACGGGCTCCAGCAGCAGCAGCAACAGCAGCAGCAGCAGCAGCAGCAGCACCAGCAGCAGCAGCAGCAGCAGCAGGGGGAGGAGGGAGAAGAACGAACACCACGGGGAGGCGGCCCAAAATCGCGGATGAGGCTGGCACGCCCAAGACTGACCTGCTGCCGCTAGCGTGCGCGGCCGGGGTGGGCACTCGAGATTGTCTTCGGCAGGGGCGACGGGGGTGTCATCATGGTGCCCCGCGTGCGCAGGCCCGCCGCCCCCGTCGAATACCAACTGTGCAGCGCACTCTGCGGCAGCGTCTTCGACCATATGCACGGGCACCACCCCGCACGCGCGGCACGCGCCTCAGCAGCGTCGCGCGCACCTGGCTGGCTGGCGCTCGCGCGTGCTACTGCTGGTTGCCGATGGTGGCCCTGTCTGTGCTGAGACTCGGGACGCCATCACCGTCCCCACGGACGCCCCGCTGTTCCCACCACCGTCCCCACTGTCCCCACCAGTGCCCCCACCACTGTCGCACTGTCCCCACTGTGCCCACCACTGTTCCCACCACGGTTCCACTCTCCCTCAACTCTCCCAACTTTCTCCACGGCCCCAACCACTGTCCCACTGTCCCACTGTCCCACCGTCCCCGCCGCTGTCCCACTGAGCTGTCCCACTGTTCCCACCTCTGTCCCCACTGTCCCCACCTCTGTCTCCACTGTACCTCTGTCCCATTGTCCCACCGCCGTCCTCGCCACTGCCCTCACCATTGTCCCCACCACCACTGGACCCTCCACTGTCCCACTGTTTCCACAACATTCCTACTGTCCCCACACCACTGTCCCCGCCACCACCGTCCCCACCACTGTCCCACTATCCCCACTGTTCCCACCATTGTCACCGCTGTCCCCACCAGTGCCCCCACCAGTGTCTCACTGTCCCGCCTCACCCCACCATTGTCCCACCACGGTTCCGCTCTCCCCACTTTCCCCACCGTCCCCACCACTGTCCCCACCACTGTCCCCCTGTCCCCACCTCTGTCCCACTGTGCTGTCCCACCGTCCCCACTGTCCCCATCACCGTCCCACTGTCCTCACTGTCCCCACCACTTTCCCCACTGTCCTACTGTGCCACCACTGTCCTCACCACCGCCTTCGCCACTGTCCCCACCACTACCGTCCCCACCACTGTCCCCCTGTCCCCACCACTGTCCCGCTGTCCCCTCACCGCTGTCCCCACCACCACCGTCCCCACACCACTGTCCGCACCATTGTCCCACTTTCCCCGCACCACTGTCCCCACCACCACCGTTCCCACCAGTGTCCCAGCATCCCCACCATTGTCCAACTGTCCCGAGGAGCGGGAATCGTTTGCCGGCGGCGACGGGGGGGGGGTTCGAACCGGTAATGACCCGGGGCGGGGGGTTCGAACCGGTAGTGACCCCCCCCCCCTTTCATGATGGACTGGGGGGGGGAAGGGTTTTGAACCGGTAATGCCCCCCCCGGTTTTCGAGGGGGGGGGGTGGACGGGTTGGGAACCCCCAGTGACCCCCCCCATGTTTTCCGCCAGCAGCGGTA